CTAATTAGTAACTGTCACTGTGAAGGGTTCACAATTTGCTTATCTTCTCCTCTCTTTTCCCTCGCCTAGAATTTGTTATTCGTTTGTTGTTTTATTTATTGAATTCTCGAGTAGGCGTCATTTTAGTGGATTTGAAAAGACTTATGAGGAATTTTAATGAAATGTTAATGAATAAATAGGTCACTTGCTTATTGAGTTGCGTTGCACTGAAGTTTTGGATCGATTTGGAAGCATGTTGAAGTTGAATTGATCAGCCGTGCCGTGAACTCCTCTCCACTCGGCACACTCGTCATACATCCCAATTTGGTAATAGCGTTTTCTGCTTCAATTGTGGACTGGTGTCGTCATGAGTTATACACTGAACACTTGCCTTCTCTTAGCTTATGCTTTAACTCTAACTTCGTCACTGACTTTACTTGAACGGGATGATATATCACCATTTTTTGATTTTACTGGAACTGATGTAGAAATCGACCCAAAGGTATTCTCAATTACCTTTACTCTTTTTATGCTTTAATACTTATTTCTATGAACAAAAGTTTGGTTTATGATCAGGAGACAGTAATGTCCAATTATTGACATTCAATGGCAAATGCAAAAGAAAAATTTCGTATTTTTTCAGTTTTATTTTATAACATTGGTTTTTTTTTTCAAATAAAAAGTACATATTGGATATATAAAATAAGCCACAAATATTTAATGTTTTGTTGATATCAATAAGAATTATTCTTGTCAAAAACTTAATAAATGCTGATAAACAACAGTAAAAACCTAAAGAGCTTAAAAACTGAATATTTTTAGCCTTGATTATTTTTGTGTTATTTATTCAGGTTTAGTGTTGATGAAAGAAATCGGAAAAATGTTGGATTTGATTGGCTCATGCTATTTGAATTTAGCTAACCGTTCTTTCTTAGCATCCTTTTCTATTTGCCTTGCTTTATCTCAAAAGTTCATCTCAAATCTTTTTCTTTTGCATGCATGGAAACATCAAAATCTTTGAGCACAGGCTCACAAGAAACGTTTCAGCGCAAAGAAAAAATCAAAAAAAAAAAAAAAAAAAAA